AGTTAACCTCCGTCTTTCCATTCTCTCCTCCGTGGTCTCACGGTAGTACTTCTTCCACGTGGCGCCGTCTTTGACACCGTGCACGCGTCCATACGACGGTCGAGTATCCACCGGTTGTCGTTTCAATATGTTCAACGCCCGGTTGAATGGAGTGTCCCACTTGGGCCTCGCCAATGCCTCAGACGGCGAGTCGCTTTCGGACGCAATCCGGTGTTTCTCTCTCTGCAAAAGGCACAAGGATCCTTTACAAATATGACTAACATGTGCAGTCGAATTGATCAGAAACTAAAATTACTAGCAGTCTCATGAACTCCGTAATGACCGGTTTTGTCTCATAAACCTTCTTCACTGGGTCCCAATGGTGCCGGGCCCTGAGGACGTCACGCTCCTGCGGGACGGTGAACTCCGCCAAGGGGTCTGGGATGCCCAGACTCGCGGCTTCCACGTCCTCCTTGGCCCATTTTGACCTCTTTCCGCCGTAACCATGGTTTCCGAGGTGGTGGCTCCCAATGTTCCTCTCTTGAAGCCCCTTCATGTACTTAGACTTTTTTTTGGCAGCTTCGGCCTCGCAAGCCTCCTTGAATATTTGAAACTGCTCTTTTGTGATTGTCGGATTATCCTTTACAATCTCGGAGTAGGGTTCCTTGTCGATGATCTTTGCTTTCAATCGATTTTTCCAGGCGGCAAACGCGTCGCTAAACTTGGTCATGGCGTGTTTGTTTATCTTCTTCATTGCCGGCTCCTCATTTGGATCTTCATAATCCTTCTCATTCCGGCCTGGGAACAAGAATATCTGGTGAAACTTCTTTAGGAGGGAGCTCCTCATATTTTCTATCTTCTGTAGTTTCTCATCGTTGATGGTGGCGGTTGTCCATACGATGTAGCCTATTTGATTGCCGTAGCACGCGCGCGCTTCCTCGGGTGCCTTTGGCTCAAAACTGCCGTCGTTCACCTCCGTGACCACCAGTCTAGTAGTCCTGAGTTTGTTAGGAAGCCGTTTCCTCTTTGCTTTCGGTTCTACACCAGCTCCGCTCCCCGAGGCAGCGCCGGTCTCGATGCCGGTCTGAGTCTCAGCGCCGGTCTCAGTCTCGGCACCGGTCTGCGTGTCGGTCTCAGTCCCCAATGCCACCGGTGGGCCCAGCAACAACACTGGTTGATCGTCGGCAAGGCTAAAAAATTCATCTGCCGCCCGATAGACGTCGTCGCAATCACCAGAACCCTGTCCTTCATCGTTGCTAGCCATGTTTCCTATGATTAAATCTAGTCAATTAATTCTAGACCTAATAAAATGAATAATGACATAAAAAGGCCTATTGTTTTGCAGGAACGTTGACTCCTTCCTGGTGTGGCAAATCCCAGGCACTCGATATGTCCTAGTTTGTAGCACAAGTCATGCCGAAATTCACGAAAAATTTCGGCATGACCTTTGCTAAAAAGTGAACAAATCGAGAACCTGAAATTTGCTGGAGCAGAAATGAATCAACATTTCGGCAAAACATAGGCCACTCAGCATCATTCCCTGGAAACAGCAAAGCCACTTGGGCACAACCGAACAACTTCAATGAAAAGATATAACATGACCACTTCAATAAAAAGATATAACCAACAATAAAAGTCTAGCAAGGGATCATCTTTAAAATAAAATTTGCCTAAATTCTTTTTCTTGAAAAATAGTGGTCTTCTCAAAAATCAAAAACCTTTGCAAAATGACCTCACTAAACACTTCTCTGCCTAGGACAAAACCCAAATTATGTTGATCTAGCTATTCCTCTCTCTCACACAAAAACACATTATTATCTCTAACCCTTCTCTGCCTAGGACAGAACCCAATTAAATTGCAAAAGAACTCCATTTCTCTAACCCTTCGGACCTAATGCTCTAAAATAAAATTTTCCTCTAACCTAGCCAACCTACTTAACCTAGCTTGTTAATCCAAAGAACCTAATTAACCTACCTATTTAACCTAGTTAGTTAATCTAGTTTACCTAGATAATTAACCTAATTAAACTAGTCAACGCAGCTAGTTCTCTGTCAAAGCCCTAAATAAAATTTTGCACTAATTAACCTAGATAATTAACCTAATTAAACTAGTTAACCTGGCTAGTTATCTGTCAAAGCCCTAACTAAAATTTTGCACTAACCTAGATAATTAACCTAATTAAACTAGTTAACCTAACTACTTCTCTGTCAAAGCCCTAACTAAATTTTTTCCCTAACCTAGATAATTAACCTAATTAAACTAGCTAACCTATGCATGAGAGAGAGAGAGGAGGGATGGGCGCTTACAGAGGATGGCTCCGGTAGTGGTGGCGAGGGAGGCAGTGGTGGCGAGGGAGGCAGTTGTGGCGAGGAAGGATTCGGTGGTGTCGACGGTGGCTCCGGTGGCGTTGATGAGGCCGCATAGATCCGTGGCGTTGGGGGTGGCTTCGGTGGCGTCGACGGCGCACGGCTCTGGTGGCGTCGACGTCGGCAGGAGACGGCGGCGAAGTGGGGCGACGGCGAATCGGGGAGATGGCGGCGGGGTGGGTCGAGGAATTTGGGGAAGATGTGGTGGCCGGGGGAAAACGGTTTTTTGGTTAAGTCAAACTTAGCGGTAGCGCGTTTAGTAAAACGCGCTATAGCTAAGATAGCTATAGCGTTTTTTACAAAACGCGCTGCTGCTATAGCTATGTAATTTTCTTTCATTTTTTTAATTTTCTTTTCTGTTTCTATAGCGGGGGTCTAGGACACGCGCTGCAGCTACGTTAGCTATAGCGCCTCTTACGAACACACGCTACTGCTATGCCTTCCTCCGTTTTCCGCTTTTTCATTTATTTTGCTTTACATTTTATTTTTTTCCTTTCTTCTTTTTCTATTTCTTTCATTTCCATTTACTTTTCTATTTGTTTTTCATCTTATTTTATTTCCATTAGTAGTAGCGCTCTTCGTAGAAAACGCGCTACTATTTATGCCCTATTGGTAGCACGTTTCTTCCAAGCCCGCTACTGCTATGCGTAGCCTATCATTCTAGCAATGGGAATATTAGTAGTAGCGCTTTTGCCGCTACACGCGCTACTGCTAAGGTTGTATCTCTAGCGCGGTTTTTTCTCAATCGCTACTACTATCTAGCCCTAGTGCTCTTTTCTTACCCGCGTTGTTGCTAAATTTCTGCGTATAAGGTTTTCCCTAGTAATGTAGACTTAGATTTGTGGAGAGAGATCCTTGAGCAGACTACTGTTCCGCGCCAAGGTCATGGAATCGGGGTTTGCCTCGGCGATGAGATCATGCAGCTGCTCCTTGTACTGCTGGATAACGGACTCACGGTATTCATCCCAGCCATTGCGGCTTGGATCTGTTAATCTGGAAACACGTACACAGGCAGCATTGGTAGCGCGATCGATCGAACCTCAGAATGGTAACTCCAAAACTCGCCGCAACCTCAGAAGCAGCATCGGTTTCGGTCCCGGTTGTTTCGGTTCGCTAATTCGGTCATCGGTTAATATGTTCACCCCTAGCTGCGACCGTCGTCGAGTCCTTCTCTGCTGGCCTTTCCGATTTCTTCGACATGGCGTACAACTTGTGTAGGTCCCAGTTTACACATATCCGGTGCTGACAACATCAATGCATGCCTTTGTCCACGACGTGTCTCCGAGCCTGGCAAGCCTGGGGCGGCGCTTCATCAACTTCATCTTTGTCCATCTACGCATGCCCGATGCTGGCAACACCGATGCGTACATTCGTCCACAACGTGTGCCCGGGCTTGGCAAACCCGGTGCGACGCCTCGTCAACATTGTCTTCTTCACCTCGCAGCACTGCTAGACAATAATGCGCCTATGACTAACTCGACGCCTCCTTGCGCCCGCAGGTCCACGGCTACTTTCTCGAGACCGGCCACCCTGACTCGACATCGATCACGACATTTTTCACAAGGGTACCTCGACCATGGTTACGCCACCCCTAGGCTCTCAGCTACCTCGACAACAAGACAAAGGGCTACCGCCTTGCTTGAGCAACCTTGTCGGTTTTCACTCCAGCCACGACTTCCGCGATGCATCGACGGGTTTCGTCGGCTTAGCTTAGGATTCTTCTCCAGTCTCACCGTCTGCGTCGTTACCGTTGTGACTGTGGGGGATGTTGAGTATATGTTTATTAGGAAGTATAGGATAGGCTAGGATTTGATCCTGCCTTGTCTTGTACTACAAGTTGGTCATCGTACTCCGATATATATGCCCACGAGGCTCAAACAATACATCAACTATTCCACCAAATCCTTCTCTATCCTTAAAACACACTTAAATGGGCCTCATTTTTTTATATCGTGTATACGATCAATGCCGGCATAGTAGAGATTCCGCAGAAGACCCTCCTGTATCCTCTCATTCAAAATTGTGTCGTTAAGTTCTAGCTAATAGATAGTAAACAACAAGAATGACAACAAGGAAAACAAAGTAAAGATGTGCTCAGGGAAATGCCCACAAGCAAAACAACTCAGCAAAACCAAGCTGCTGTCACCATCTTTGCTTTATTTCAAAGAAAAAGGAAAAGAAAGAAGCAAAGGCGTGTCTGCAACTCCAACTTTGCTCCAGCCTCAAGTAAAGAATGAACCAGATATGGATGGATACTTTGACAAAAGCAAAGGCAAACACAGGCTCTCCAATATAGCCATTCATACATTCATTCCTCCCTTGCTCCTTCGTATCACGTGACATAAACTCATCTTTCTTCTGCCACACAAGGAAGAGCGTCTGCTTGCAAATTAATCAAGGTACTACTTCTAACACTATCCCCTGTATGATTAATTCTTCTTCTATTTATTTATTTATTGCATCTTAATTGCTTGCAGTATATACGATTAATTCTTCTAATACTATCCGTGTTTGCCTTGACTGAAATAATCCTACTCTCTCCTGGTAACTACCTATATAGGTTATAGGAGCGAGCAAATTGATTCATCTGGAGGTGGAGATTGATGGGTTAGATTGATATCGTGAGCTTATTGTATTTCCCGGGCCTTCACTGAATGCCTCAAGAAGTATTTGTTTGCTCTCCCGCAGTCTACCCTAGTATTACTGTTATTGTTCTACCATATATAAACACATCTCACTTGTTTAAAATATACTAGCATCCATGAAAAATATATAAAAGAAAAGTCTTCATATTCCAAGATTCTAAAAGAACTGGCTCGGCCAAGTCATAGATGCACCAGGTAGCAAACTTCGTACGAACAAGATATGCAGTGCCTCTATATATAGTTGGTCCGATCAACATTACCCAAGATATGCTACCTAGCCTAGCCTAGCTGCCGTAATGAACAAGACCAGGGATTCCATTGTCCAGCATTGCTTAATTTGTTAAAAGCAAGCCAAACACAGGCGCTGCTTTGCACTACAGACCGTAAATACTAATGCTACTAGTACAGTTTCTACACTGCACTACACTTGTAGAATAGCCCTCCAATTAATATAGAGTACATCCCCATTTGTCAATCTATTGATCCTCCTTCATCATTCATCACCTGACATAAACATCTTAATCCAAAGCCGACCAGCTAGCACATACCAACATGTATATTGATTCTTCTGCAATCTTGTCAGGACAGAACAGCACATATATAAGATGTGTTCGCTTGCCGATTGAGGTACTACATAACTAATTCCTATGCTCTCCACGTGACTACTAGGCGGAGGGGCATGCTGACTAGCAACGTAATTCATCTAGAGGTGCAGATCGATGGGTCAGATTGATCTCTGGAGTTTCTTGTCTTTGCCAGGCCTTCATTGAAATATTAGTCCTCATGCCTCGAGAGGTACTGTTTTCTACATATATATGCATTGAAATATTATCACACACACAAATATTCTTTAAGAGATACTCCTACTTACATGTATGTCAACGATGGATGGATGGGTTGGATCATCTTGGACTAAAATGTTTTTTCAACATTTGAAAAGAACCCCGTCCCCCGAGTCATACATACATGTTATCGCTCCAAACCTCAAGGATAAATTAAACTAGAAGGGTGCGTTCTTCACTAAGCCATTAGTGCACAGAGCTGATAGCTAGGTTAGTAATACTCTATTTGGTTTGTTTGGTTGCACAACATAAGCGCACTTTGCTATGCTAGTGATCAACGTGCTAATAATTTTCATCTAAAATATTGTTGTCGATGACATGTCTCGTCATTTCATCTAAAATATTGTTATCGACGACATATGTCTAATTGCTTTGTATCAGATATTGTCGTCAATGCCAACATCCCATTGTTACCAGCATGCTTTTCACATGAGAGTTAACAGGTAAGAGCAGCTACAACCGGAACCCCAAAACATCCGGGCAGACAACTCGGACACAACCTGAATA